TCTGAGTGGTTGATAGGGTGTTCTAGGTAGTTACTAGAGCATTTTGGGTGGTTGCTGGGATGTTCTAAATAGTTGCTAGAGTACTCTATGCTGTTTCTATGGTGTTCTATGTAATTTCCAAGGTATTCTGGGTGGTTAATAAGACATTTTGGGTGGTTGCTAGATATTTATTTATTGGTCCACTTCAAAACAACCCACCAACATTATACTGTGCATAGTAAGTATGTTGCTCAAGTAATAGCGTCTTCATTAGCATACTTATGTGAAGTATTTCTGGGGTTTGTTCAAATCACCAACCCTAAATATGTGCAACAGTAACAGTGATTTTGGCCAACAGAAGCAGCAGGTAAGGCTTGGCAGAAAGGTTAATCCCACTGAGTGCTCTATTGTTACGTCTGTCCGGTCTCCTGTAATCCTCAATTTCCCGCTGACCCTATCCACCTGGAACGCCAAGCTTTGATCAATATCGCTGGATAAATTCAGTAAGCCGCTCTATCTTCTGTGCCACTATCCTCGCCAATCACGACGACAGCATGAGAGTTTTCTTATGTAGGGGAAGGATCAGTTTGCCGTTGCTAGATTAATAACAGAATAATCTACCATCACTGATTGCACACTGCCTTATTTACTTGTATTATGCTGATCTGCAGTGACAACAAGCTTGCGGTGATCCTCCGAGAGCTTTAACTACCTTTGCCGTACAGGGAATGATGTTTGCACCCGGGAGCAGAGATTTGAAGACGATGGATGTCGTATCTTACCGGCAGCTCTCACATGCACAACACAAAACACTCAGCGTCTTGGGTTTGCAGAGAGAAGTGGTATTTTCCTTCTCTTGATGTCTCCTTAAATAAAAGAACAGAGCTGTCTGGATGCTCTCTGCACAAGCCGTTGCTGAATCTGGCTCATTATATTCTCTGAAAATATTGCTTCCAGAGGCTTTGCCCTCCTCTGCTCTCACTTTCCTTCATGATGGGCGAATCAAGGGGGGTTTGTGTATAGAAACGGGATGTGGCAACTTAGGTCCGTGAAGGGTGCACTTGTGTCTGACCTCCACACAAACGATCCCCTCATCAGCCGCAATAGCGGCTCACTTGTTGTAATGAAGGGCTGTGATGAGGAAGATGATGGCGAAGTTGTAGAAAATAAGTTTGGCTAATCAATGGCTGGAATTTAAGCTCCAAATGAAAGGTTAAATGTGCAGATCCCAAGCAAACAAAAATAGAAACATCTTATTAGTGATGGTTGCAAGATTTCTATGAACTCAAAGTATCAGGGGAGTAACAGCTTTTGGGAGAGAATCTTTGTGTTTTAAGAGTTCTGTTTCACGCTGCAGTGGAAAGGAAATAATTGTAGCCAGCAGTGTAAAACAACAATTTAAAGTAGCATTGGCGGTGGACTAAATTAACTATGCTGTTTTTTTTTTTTGGCCTTTCACCAATCAGTTGAGTCATGCATGTAATTAATATTTACAAGCAATGCTGATACCACTGATAATCAGTTTTCAGATTCAGAGATTAAATAGTCCCAGCAATTGTAATACAGATGAATGATACCTGGAATCGTGTTTTTCACTTGGACAGTAAGCAACCACCTGCTCAGCTAACAGGGAACCTTCTCAGAACTTAAGCTAATGTTCTGTCAAAATGCTCTCAATATTATGAACAAATGTTCTACCAGTAATATTAATACAACATTTGTTCAAAGCCATCTGGTCTCAAAATGTAAGCACTTTATTTAAACGCTCTTTTATTCGGAAACATCTTATTTTAACATTTTTTAAAGATGAATGATGAGTATTTACTGAAATGCTGAAATGTTGGTTAGATTTAAAATGTAATCGGTTTACAAAAAAGTCAATATTTGTATCCTCTTTAATATATGAGACGTTATAACTGGTTTGTACTTTTTGGCTTGTGTTTAAAACACCATGTTTGTTTTTGGGTGGCTGAACTTTGCATGAAGTGTGCATGAAGACATTAGACTTTTAGATTACTAGCCTAGTGTTCATTTTTAGTCTGTTATATATTTAAATTGTGAGATGTACTTGGTTCGTTGTGTTTCAGGGCCCCGGGACAGAGTTCCTGAGCCATTTATTTGTTTAAGCCTACTCCTCTTCTTAAGCAATTAATCACCACATTATTTTCTCTCCCATGCATATCCTAAAGCACAGGTTTTACTGAAATGCTGAAATGTTGGTTAGATTTAAAATGTAATCGGTTTACAAAAAAGTCAATATTTGTATCCTCTTTAATATATGAGACGTTATAACTGGTTTGTACTTTTTGGCTTGTGTTTAAAACACCATGTTTGTTTTGTGTGCATGAAGACATTAGACTTTTAGATTACTAGCCTAGTGTTAATTTTTAGTCTGTTATATATTTAAATTGTGAGATGTACTTGGTTCGTTGTGTTTCAGGGCCCCGGGACAGAGTTCCTGAGCCATTTATTTGTTTAAGCCTACTCCTCTTCTTAAGCAATTAATCACCACATTATTTTCTCTCCCATGCATATCCTAAAGCACAGGTTTGTGTGGTTTCATTCTCATAATGAAACATCAAGTCTGTTTTGCAGTTCTCAGCTCCAGTGTCTATTTACAGCATTCTAAGTAGTTTATCAGGTTTGAAATGTAAAGTCACCCAGTTAAATGGTGTGAGGTTCTTAAAGACTGTAGTTTTCAGTTCATATGTGATCAGTCTGATAAGAAAATTGATTTATTCATGGGATTCATTTTTCTCTCACCTCAGATATCAGGCTCAAATTGTAATTCATGTTTCCAAGAATGAGAATAAGAAACAAATAAGTTCTTGAATTGTGTTGTCACAGGATATTTGCTGTCTCATCTAAAACCTACATGTCCTTGCATGTTTTTCTGAAACCAGGGCATCTGCAATTTAAGATGATGGGACGAAAGTGTCCGTATCTATTTCTGAAACTACTAATAAGACACTTTCCAAAGATTAAGGGTGTGTAAAAACGTTAAAACTTCACTTTTTGAAGTGCTTAGTATGAATGAATTTAAAGGGATAATTCACCCCAAAATTTGAAACATCTTGAAAGAGTGAATAACAGAATTTTCAATTTTGGGAGAACTAAATGTTAGGTGTTGACATTTCTGTTCTTCATTGAGCCTTTAAATGAAACTCATTAAGCTGATCCAAGCATGTCTATTAAGTTGTGAGATTGTATCAGTTCACCTGAACTGTAGTGATTTGATTCCAGGGATTTTGCTGACAAATAATTGTTATTAATAACTGTATCTACAGCTGTTAGCAATATGATGCAAGAACATGTTGATTTTCAACTCTATTTGGTAAGATGTGATTGCAACAGTGTATTGTAATGCTGCAATACTCTTTAGAGTGAACTGCTGCTATTCAATATGTGCAACAAAAGGGACAGGTCTGTTGTTGTTTTTTTTTAAGATCGGATGTTTTAGGTTTTTGGATTATGAAAAATTTACACAAGATGCGCTTTGAATCATAATCGATTTATGCTGGATAAAAGGATCATCAAGTTTTATAACGAAACTATTTGTTAAGTTAGGAAAATTTCAGACTTTTCAACTCTATTCTATATATTCAATAACTTACCTAAATTTTCGATGTGCAAGGTTGGTTATTGCACTCATAAAACTTTTATCAGAGATGAAGGCTCAGGGTTTTCAGTAAAAGTGTTTTTGCACTCAAATTTTTAATGTGAATCTGAGTTCATTTGACATTTTTGGTTCATTAAGTTGATCTGAAATTGGTTTTCTAGACGCAATGTGCATTTTTAGCATATTATGCGGTTGCTAGGTGGTTGCAAGGCTTTTGTGGCAGTTTTAGCATGTTGCAATGTGGTTGCTAGGGTGTTGTGTGCATTTTGCAGTATGTAAGATAGTTACTAGGGTGTTCTGGGTGTTTTAGCATATTGCTAGGTAGTTATTATGGTGTTTTTGATTCAGTTCAGTTGAATCAAGTTGAGTTCAGTTGACATTTTTAATTAATAAATTTATCAGAAAGCGGTTTTCCGAATGCAGGTCCAAATTCAAGTTTGAGCCAGGCAACCAAATCACTATCATTGGTAAAGGTAGAAGGATGGAGAGGTGTAGAGGTATTTTTTAAGATGCTCACCTCATTGAAAGTTGATGAATTTTATTACCTTTACATCTTCTTACTTCCTCACAAGGTTGCCGTGATTTTTGAGCGTACAGCAAGAAGCTGCATGTATTATTTACACCTATGTGACACCTGATGCTGAACGCTATCCTGCACCATAGCTGTTTGTGTGGAGCTTTGAGAAATTCACATGTGTAGGTACCAGACGCCTCGCCTTTTTAATTCACCTGTTGGAAATTCGAACTTTGAATTTTGCATCATCTTAAAGGGGTCATATGACGTTGCTAAAAAAGAACATTATTTGGTGTATTTGGTGTAATGAAATGTGTTTATGCGGTTTAAGGTTAAAAAAACACATTATTTTCCACATACTGTACATTATTGTTTCTCCTCTATGCCCCGCCTTTCTGAAACGCGTCGATTTTTACAAAGCTCATCGGTCTGAAAAGTG